CATCCATCCATCCATCCATCCATCCATCCATCCATCCATCCATCCATTATCTTTACCCGCTTCTTCCTTTTCATGTGGTGGGGGTCACTGGTGCCGATATCCAGCAGTCACTGTGCAAGAGGCGGGGGACACCCTGGACAGGTCTCCAGTCCATCACAGGGCACGTGGCAACCTTATTGAAAATATCTAAATGTTTTTAGATTTTTCTACCTGGATTACTGAGCATGCATCAGGATACTTATTGAAAATAACCTTTCTCACACTTTGATGAAACCCTCTTTGCTCTGTGATTGGGGCGGGGGGGGGGGGGGGGGGGGTAAATAAGAACAGAGTTTCTGCAGGCGTCTAGAACCCACCTGAAACCCTTCTCAGTTTTGTCACAGTCTCTATCCTTTGAGCTGTGCTTTGACTGGTGTGTGTGCAAATACACACACACACATTTGACACTGTCAGAACTGATCAGTTACTGAGTGAAGTAACACATGATCAAATCATTTCCAGTTTGGTTCTGAGTTAGACCCCCCTCAGTCAGTTTTATTAAAAACTTTCAACTTTTCATAGCTTGTTCAGTTTAGACATACTGGTCTCCATACTTGGTTGTTTTAGACGGTGGTTGTTGATAAATCCTTGTGGTCTGTTACATTGTGCAGGTTTGGACACGTTCAGTCTGTTCCTGCTTAAATCTGACAATCATGAGTGAAAGTCTTCTTCTTTCAGCTGTTCCCTCTTCAGGGCTCTTCACAGCGAGTCCTCCTCCTCCGTCTCTCTCTGTCCTCTGCATCCTCTGTCCCCCCTCCAACCATGTCCTCTCTAACTGCATCCATTTATTTTCATCTAATTAGAGCCGGCTGCTGTGCTAATTTTAGAAAAGAGAGCACCTGTCAGCCGTCCATCCAAGCCCTGCTTTATAGAAGACACGTCCTCCAAATCAAAAATGTCCTAATGGACACGTCATTCTGTAAGAGAGCCAACATTTTGTCTTTTCTTCTGGACAAACTAATGAACACCCTCGTTGCACACTGGCAGGAGGTGCAGGCCTGCACCTCAAGTGACAGGTGCTGCAGTTAGAGAGGAGGGAGTCAGCTCAGCCAGAGGTTAGCTTTTTACACGGAGCTGCGAGGCTCACGCTAACTGCCTACGCCACAACGCTGCGAGCTGAGAGGTCGGCTGCAGAAGACAATAACTCCACGCCTGTGCAGCCTCCGCTGCATTACCATAAAACCTGTTGGAAAGTGTGCAAATCCACGAGCGCTCCTGTACGCCGAGCCCCTGGCTGTACGCTCAGAGTCGAAGCCTGCCTGCGTTTCTGTGTGGATCCACAGGTGTGCACGTGTCGCAGGTGGGTGGAGGGTTAACGTCGGGTTTTATCGCCGTGCATCTGAACATGTGCTCCTGTACACATTCGCCTCTGTATGCGCCGAGCGTTTGAGCATGTGGAACGTCGGCGTGTCACATTAGCCACGGGGCGCTGTCGGCGGGGCCCGGCGGCGGCCCGCTGAGGTTTATGGAGTGTCACTCAGTCGCCGCGGCCGTGAATCAAGTTAATGTTGCAGATCCCGTCTCCTCAGTTGTCCTGCACTGCCTGGTGGAAGAACAACATTTGAACAGCGTGATTTGGCCCCAGCGAGAGGCTGATGCCTGTTTAATATGTGTTCAGAGCGCTCTGACTGACTGAGCCCTTTAACAGGAAGTGGGAGAGAGAACGAGCTCGACCCGGAGAGGCAGGCGGCTCCATCGCCTGTGATGAAACAAGATGGAGGCTCCCTGAGAGGAGGAGGACAGGAGGCAGAGGGACAGGAGGCAGAGGCACGGAAGGTGTGCTGCAAAACAAATCAATGTCAGAGAGTGAACCTAGAGCTGAGAGACCGACAGGACGCCACGATTCACGCAGCTGAGTGTTTGATATTTAATCATAAATTAGAAAAACGGTAATTCAGTTCTTTAAGAGGAATCAGCTGAAATCAGCATCAACAGGTCAGAGCTGCAAAACTAAAAAGTGCTGCATCTTTATTTACTCATCAATGTCTGCAGTTTAAATGCAATGCTCCAACAAAATGCCATTTTAATTTTTTTAATTAGTTCAGACGCCAATTTCCAGATTTCTAGAACAATTCAGTGACATTTGACTTTT